GGTTTGTTGAAAGCACACAAGTACGGATAAAGTGCCCCAAGTAAATCCAAAATTTTATTACAATAGCAAGAGATACCACAGCATAAACGCTATGGTAGTAAGTATGGCGGTTTTTAATCAAAAAATACTTTTAATATTTTTCAATTACAGATTTGTCAAGATGATCTATTAAGTCGTTTTGAAGATGCTAGACATCCTGGCAGTAATCACGACTCTTTTATTTGGAGGAGTAGTCAAGCTGGAGGTAAAATAAAGTTTTGACTGTTAGATGTGTATATTAATGACGTATTGTTATTCTACACTGTTATATATTTCCATTGTTATCATATTTAATGAATCCGCTAAGGAACTGTAACACGGAACAGGAGGGAAAATATAACAAAAACCACACCCTGTATGACGAAAATGTCCAACTCTGACCTCTAAGTCAGGCAGTTCTTGACCGATAGAGCTGAACATTTGAATTCTATAACTTTTTTATTTCTTTAAATAAATAGCTGAAATTTTCCACACATATTCCTTATAAGTAAGGTTTGTTTGAAGATTTCGCTTAGCCCCCATACAAGTGACGCCCAAGAAAACTCCTTAAATACTCACAAGTCAGTTTTATGTATGTATGTACATATATTTTATTGGTATAATAAATTCATATTTCACAATAATTTAATATTTTATATAAGAGTTCAGTTAAAAAAAATTATTTATCTACTTAAACATAAATAAACAAAGTAATTATATATTTCCATTAATATTATTTATTTTTAGGCAAAAACCCAGTCAGGGGATAAAAGTATACCTTTTAGGGGCAAAGACATTTTATATGATCATACGAAGAGTTTGAACATTTAATATAAAATTTTTCTGTGTTATAACGTGTGTGAAGTTATAACGTGTGTGAAGAAGTGATGTTGAGTAATGGTTCGGCAAATTGCACATCATCTTTAATATTTTATTTGGCAAATTTGAAGACGTTTTAGGTGGCAATTTGATGCATTGTTCCAAACAGGAGCTCCGTAATATAGTATAGCTTGAAAAATTACTTTAAATATTATAAGTTTAATTTCAATATTTAATTTAGATTTTCTGTTAATGAATGGATATAGCACTCTAATAGTTATATTGATTTTGTTAATAATGTATGATGTGTGTTCGTTTTAACTCAAGAATAAAATTTTTTGTTCAGTATTTGGCAGTTCTTGACCGGCGTCATTAAATAACTCCCCACGAAATAATAGCCAAAACAAAAATGATATAAGTCCTCGAATTTGGGGACTTATTTCATTATGAAAACATTCCCAAATTTAAAAATGAAAAAAGCCCCAATGAAATGAAATAACTTCCTAAATGAAAATAAAATAACTCCCCATTTTTGGGGATTTATTTCATATGAAACAAATTTTAAAATGAAATAAGTTCCCATTTAAACATAACAAATTGTGGAACAAGTCGGTTTTAGTGACATTTCTTTCATACTTTCGAGTGGGGCTTCAAAGTTTAATACATTTCAGTTTAATCGCTTAATAAAGATTCCCTTAATTTTTGAGATTAACCGTATATATATACAGTTAATCTCAAAAATAAGTATACAGAAATACTGACAATTGGTTTTATTTAAAAAGTATATTATTTTTTCAAAAATCAAAAAAGTAACACATTTATTTATTAAAAACAATTATGATAATTTTTATTCACTACTTTTTTTCTTCATATTTTGGTTCTTTGAGTTCTCATTTAAGATGAAGTTAAGAAGGTGCAAAATTTACGTCACAAAAATAAGTATATAGATAATTTTAATATGTATTTGGCTTAATGATATTAACAAAATTCATAAAAATTTTACCGTTTGAATGTAATTATTTTATAATAAAACTAGCTATACCCAGTGTGCTTCGCTACCCTCATCGTAATGGAATAAAATAAATATTATTGTAAATGTATATATATCTGCAATATCAAAAAGTCCCCTATTTAAATTTATGTTTATATATTCAATATTTTAGAAAACTCAAAAAGTACCAATGAAGTACGAAAAAGTAACAAAAGACCTCTTTTATTTATTTTATGTTCCTAAGTTCAATATTATAGAAAACTAAAAAAGTACCAGTTGAAGAACGAAAAATTACCAAAGGGTCCCCTTTTATAGATCCTCATTAATTCCGTGCTCCACATGGTTAATTTCATGTTATAAAAAACACAAAAAGTACCTTTTGAAGAACGAAAAATTACCAAAAAGTCTTCTTTTATATGTTCTCACTTACTCCGGGCTCTACGTACTTAATTTCATGTTTCTAGGTTCAATATTATAGAAAATTCAAAAAGTACCTTTTGAAGAACGAAAAAGTGCCGAAAAGTCCCCTTTTATAGGTTATCACTTAATCTTGGCTGTACTTGCTTAATTTCATGTTTCTAGGTTAAATATTATAGAAAATTCAAAAAGTACCTTTTGAAGAAAGAAAAAGTACCAAAAAGTCCCCTTTTATAGATTCTCATTTACTCCGGGCTCTACATGCTTAATTTCATGTTTCTAGGTTAAATTTTATAGAAAACTCAAAAAGTACCAGTCGAAGGACGAAAAAGTACCAAAAAGTCCCCTTTTATAGATTCTCATTTACTCCGGTCTCTGCATGTTTAATTTCATGTTTCTAGGTTCAATATTATAGAAAATTCAAAAAGTACCTTTTGAAGAACGAAAAAGTACCATTTTATAGATTCTCATTTACTCCGAGCTCTACATGCTTAATTTCATGTTTCTAGGTTTAATTTTAAAGAAAACTCAAAAAAGTACCTGTGTAGAACGAAAAAGTAGCGAAAGTCCCTTTATTATTAATTTCATGTTTCTATTTCAATATCATAGAAAACTCAAAAAGGACCAGTTAGAGAATGAAAAGTACCAAAAAATATCACTTGATACCGGGGTTCCAAATAACACCCCATTAGGATATTTAGCGTTTCTAAATTTAAAAATTTTATCTAAATTGGATCATTGTGGTTGAATAAAATCAAATTTCCCGTTTTTACCCCTTTTGGTACTTTTTTCCTCCCCATTAACGAAATAAAAATTCTATTCCAAAAAGTTGCAACATCGTAGTGGGAGCCCGTTATTATGTAAAGTACCAAAAATAGGTACAATTTTAACCCCTTAAACGTCCGAATATCCAAAAAGTACTAAATTCATATTTTTATTTTTTCGTAAAGTTATGAAGGAGTCAAAAATATTTTTTGAATGTGCACTGGTTTAAAAGATAATTTTTTAGATATGTATCCCATTCGCATCCCATTATGGGACTAGAAAGCCCTTAAAGCAAATTGTATATGCTTTGTTTTCAGGAAAAAAGGGCCAATTTGAAAAAATAAAAAAATTATTTTTTGTAATATATATATATATATATATATATATATATATATATATATATATATATATATATATATATATTTTAATTTTTTACAAAAAATAATTTTTTTATTTTTTATTTTTTCAAATTGGCCCTTTTTTCCTGAAAACATATATAGAAAAAGCTATCTGAACTCGTTTGAACAATTTTTGAATAAAACCCTGTATGACCGAAAGGTCCAGCTTTGACCCCCTCTAAGTCCGGCAGTTCTTGATAGAGCTGAAATTTGTGTGTGACCTACTATCCAATAGAACTAACCTTGGTGCAAATTTCGTCAAAGTCGATTTTTTGAGTTGGGTCACTTCACATGAAATTGCCAATATACCAAACATATTAATGTCGAATTTTACTCCGATAGCTTCATTATTTAATGAAATATAGACCAACTCAGAAAAAATTTCGTAAAGTGATTGCACGTATGCGCGTGTAAGTGATTTTCAAAGGTGGACCTTATATGGGAGTCCGGCAGTTCTTGATCGATAGAGCTGAAAATTGTGTATCCAATAGAACTAACCTTGGTGCAAATTTCGTCAAAATCGATTTTTTGAGTTGGGTCACTTCACATGAAATTGCCAATATACCAAACATATTAATGTCGAATTTTACCCCGATAGCTTTATTATTTAATGAAATATAGACCAACTCAGAAAAAATTTCGTAAAGTGATTGCACGTATGCGCGTGTAAGTGATTTTCAAAGGTGGACCTTATATGGGAGGCCTGAAAAAAATATAGAGTGATTAATATCTACACAAAACATATTCTAGCCGAATGTCATCCCGATAGCTTTATTTATCAATAAAATATGCGCGTTTGAGTGATTTTCGAAAGTGGACCTTATATGGGAGCTTTGATCAATTGATATCAATCTACGTTGGTAGTATGATTTCTTTCATATTATGTCAATTGATATCAATCTACGTTGGTAGTATGATTTCTTTCATATTATATTTATATGTATGTGCAAAATTTTAAGTTGATACCTATATATTTGAGAAAGTTATTAACGATAAATCCATTTCCGGAAATATGTACATTTGAATGGAGTATATGGGAAATTTTGGATCGATTGTTATGATTTTGAACATAATTAATCTCTGGTTTAAAAAATAACGTATGACAAAATTCATAGAATTATCTCTTATAGTTTCTGAGAAAACTACTTAAGAATTACGAAAACATTTTTCTGAAATTTTTACTCATAACTTTTAACGTTGAGAATCGCTCTTGCTGATTTTCAATACCAAACTGCTTAGGTCAACAGTGAATATTTTTGGTGAATTTGTTTTAATCCTTTTCCTTAATTTTAACGTGAACGTGTTTTATGCCGACAGACAGACGGACGGACATAGCTAAATCGACTCAGAGTCTGAGAAAACTACTTAAGAATTACAAAAAAAACGTAATTTTTTTCGAGGAAGTCTGAAATTTTTACTCATAACTTTTAACATTGTGAGCCGATTTTGCTAATTGTCTATACCCAACTGCTTAGGACAACAATAAATATTGTTAGTGGGCGTGTTTTAGGCAGACAGACATGCGGACTTAAATACTTGCTTTTTATTAAAAAAATATACTTTATTTCAAAAATGTCGGAACCTTGACTTACCAGAATGAACAGCAGGAAATACAGCTAATGTCACAAAAAAAGTAAAAAATATATTAAAAAGTTGTGGGAACGCCTCTTTAAAAATTTTGAAATAAGGCACTCTGGTTACATCCGAATTGCACAATGGTTTTTCTTCTTTAAGTCTTCTTAATTCGTGATATCTATAAAATCTCTGAAAAGTAAAAAATAGAACAAATAATTCTAAATCAAGAGTAATTTCTAAAACAATATGTGATTTTGAAATCAAGTTTTATTAAAAGTTCTGTTATTTTAGTTAGAAAATAATTGTGGAAATAAAGACTGAAGTTTTATTTGTTAGACAAATGCTCAATAAAATAAAAATTTAGTATTTTATAATTGAAATTATTATTTCGAAATAAATCTCATTGATATAACGCCCAATTAGGAAAATGAAATAAGTGCCAATAAAATTAAAAAAACAAGTAAGTGTTATATTCGGCTGTGCCGAATCTCATATACCCACCATCAAACCGTATGCCATAAAAGAAATGCTTCCCTTTCAACATCAGGGTAATATTACTCATCAAATTAACTGAAGAGGACTTTATATATTTTTTTTTTCATTTTATTTATTCTTTATTGAATCTTTCTTATGTAGAAATTTACAATAAGTATTAAAATCTTAACCTAAATTATAACTAACGTTGTTATTGCCGATGCAATTTCAACCAAAGTTCTCGATAATTTGATTATCTGACAAAATCCAATGTTTAGTAGTAATTTTATCTATACCAGGTGATTTTCCTGCTTTTAGACCTTTGATTGCCGTCTTCACGGTAGAGAACCGGAATTTTATTGGGCGTGGAACCACATTATAATGTTAGCACTAATAGAAGAATCTGTATCATTTTCAGTAAACACATTCTCCAAGTGATTGGCGAATGCTTCAAGTTTTTCTGACGTATTTCTTGCCCATTGACCATTCTGGAGGCGTATGGGTGACTCATATGCAATAGGGCATTGCATATGTTTAACAGCTTTCCAGAGACTATATTCTGTTTTCTTAGTAGGATCTAAGATTTTGAGATAATTTCTCAGATTAGATTCCTTATTATTTTTTAAGGCGATGTGAAGTCTTCTTTGCCACTGATTTAGTTTTACCTTTATGTTTGGAGATCGCGATTGTTGCCATTGACGTCTGAGTGTTCTCTTTTCTTTAATTAGAGACTCAATGTTCCTAGGACATTTCGAATTTTTGTAGTATCCCAAGGTGACTGGGGGTGTAGAAACTTTGACAGCATCTTGTAAGATATCCGTAAATATATCGACAGCGGATTGTATTTCATGGTCATTTTTCAATGAAATGTTTTGTAGCAAGTGTGAGCTGACATACATTTTATACTTTAACCAGTTCGTCTTCTTGTTAGGGAAACAAGAACAATAGTTTTCCAATTTATTTGGGGTTTCTAATAACGTTAAAACTGTAGGCATCTAGTCTGTTATGCGATATTGCTTCTAGCAATTGTCTGCCTTTGGGAGTAATGAGGCGAGAGCCCCAAAATGTATGTTTTGCATTATAATCACCAGCTGCTATGAATCTTGGTCCAAGAGTTTTAAAGTAATCGAAAACTGCTCTCGATTAATATTATACATAGGAGGAAAATATATTGAAGATATTGTAACTCTGCTATCAGGTATATTTATAGAGGTGGCCTGGATATGGTCCTTTTTGTATTCTGGCATTGGAAAATGTCTAATTTTTTCTCACTAAAATGGCTGTTCCACCGTAAGTATCGTACCGTAAGTGTTAATTCTGAAACAATTCTTTAGGGTAAAGTGTGTTTCAGAGACGAGTAGTACGTCAAGTTCCTGAAGTAGCAGGAATTGTTCTACTTCATTCTTGTGTTGGCTAAGGCCATTAGCATTCCAAAAACAAATTCTTAGGGAATTCATTTCTTATTTAGCAGGATCTGCATGAGCATGCTTTGATTCTGCATTAATTGTTGAAACATATTTTGCATATTTGCCATGAAACTGTTCATGGTTTGAATAAGATTCTCAATAGAGCTTTGAGAATTTGTTTTGGGTGCGGGTAAACCGTCTTTTAATGCATGTGCATATGAAAATAACGTGGTATTATTTTCATTATTCGTTTGCAAATTTTCATTATTTTTATTTGTAAGACTTCCATATTGGGCACTAGAAGTTTGTTTTGCATTCATTTGGGTAACGGAACCCTCTTTTGTCGTATGGGCATACGATTTATTCTGATTGCTTTTATTTGTGATACTTTTATATTGAGCACTAGAAGTATTAGGAAGGATTGGGAAGTTAGAAGCTTTATATTGAGCATATAAAGTTCTTCTGGCCTTATTTGAATGTTGCATGTGTATATATACTGGTCATCCGCGATAGTTAGCAGTGTGATTTTGACCACAGTTACAGCATTTTCTTTTATTGTTATCTGTTTTTGCGTGGGGACAATCTTGGCTTTTATGGATGTCTCCGCATCTCACACAAACAGATTGTAATTTGCAGAAAGTTCTGATGTGACCGAACTCTTGGCAATTTAGGCATTGAGGAGGACCTCTGCTCTTAATGGGTTCCTCTACAGTTATTTTACGATTAAGAAGATATCTTAAACTATATATGGGATGAGTATCACCCTTTTTCTTCAATTGTGAAGAGTTAAAAGAAATTTCAACCTATACATTGCTTGAGGAATTTTGTCCTTGTTAAATATATTGTGAATGGACTTCACTTCACAACCTTCAGTCTCTAGCGCCTTTTTAATGTCATCAGTTGGTACAGAGCTGTCTACACCTTTGATAACTACTGCCAAACCCTTTGCACTTTTTAGTTGATATGTGTAATAATTTCTTTTCTCAGAATCAAAACTATCAACTATTGTTCTAAAAGACTTTTCTGAATAAGTCTGTATTTTTGTTTCCTGAATGTTTCATTTGCGTAGAGAGACTACGTGGAAATTTTCTTTTACTTATTAACCAATAGATTTGTGGTAGGTTCGCGCAAATAGAGGGGAGGTGGCTTGTGGTCTTTTAGAGGCATGGATGGTACTTTTTCACTTTCTTGGTTGTCAATGAGTGCAAAACGATTTTGACTTACCGAATTTGTTTTCGCCTGTTTTGGATTTGGTTCCAATTTTGAAGTCCTAGGGCTGGACTTACGTTTTGTATAAGTGACATAACGGTCCATTCCTGTTAGGATCTTTTCCGTTTTATGCAAGCTCAATGTATTTGGATTGTTTTTTGGTATGGCACCAGTATTCTTTGACATTGGGCTTGAGTGACCATCCTTATCATTTATGGTTTTTATAGTGTTAATATTGTTATTGGTACTATTTGTTTGTTCACATTAGCATTACTATTTTCATCATCCATTGCATCAGTTGTTAGTTTTTCTATTTTTTCTTTTGCGTTGTCTTCCACACAATTTTCTTGTTTTGGCGCACTTGATAGAGGAGATCTCTCGTTTGTTGTTGTTTTTGAATCTGTTGTTTGGTTATTTATTTCTTCTTTTGCGCTATTATCTACACAATTGTTTTGTTTTGGCGCACTTGAGAGAGATTTCTCGTTTGTTGTTTTTCTTACACTTAAATAGTTTTTATGATTTTTTGGATCATAATTATAGTTGTTGTTGTATGGAGAGCTCATAACAAAGTATGCATTTTTTCCATTGCTACTGAGCCTCCCTTCACTTGTTGGATAGTTAGAGAAACTCATGCACAATAACACAAACACTACACATTATTTAAGGTTTTGTTGTTATTATTTTTTTTATGCTTTTTGTTTTGCTACAATTTGTTATTGTTAATAATTGCATTAACAAAAACGACAATTTATTAGATTTAAGTGTATTTTTAATATTAAAAATATATATAAGTATGTATTTAATTAGCGTCCATTCGCTGTTACTTATCTTTTTTATATTTTAATTAAGAATTTATGTTCACAATGTTATTTTCTCGTGAGAGCGATTTAAAAAACGTCTATCCACTATGAGATCAAATACAAACAAAATGCATTCCATCCATCAATTCATAAAATACAAGTGTTTGGAACTTGAAATCTAACGTAATATTTCCATAATTTTATAAAAATCACATCTAGCTGTATTATAAAGAGAGCGTTTCCAATTAGCTGACCATGGGTATTTATTTGTTGGTGGGTTCGTCTTTTTAAAGTCTATAGACGGCTAAACTGCTGGACCGATTTTCTTTTTATTTCGAAATTTTATATGGGCAAGGTGCCACGCCCACGCCCACATCCAATATAAGAATATCTCAGAATATTGCAATATCTCAGAAACTGCAATACCAAGTGTCTTCAAATTTTGTAAGGACAATTTGATGTCCATAAGAACAAATTGGGTAAAATGGAAAAATTTCCATATGGAAAAATCTTATACTAATTTAAGAAAATCTTAAATTAGAATATCTAAGAAAATATAAATGTTAGAGTCCTCAAATTTTTCGTACTTACTTTAGTATCAACATGAATATTTAGGACAAAAAATGGGCGGACTAGAAATAGGGCGAGGACTTCCCATATGAATTAAAAAAAAAAATAATTTTTCTGGGAAGCAATTATAGACTAGACTAGACTATAAACTAGAGGGGCATTTTAAAAATTTTCGAGCAGGTTTTGTACTTTACCCTCTCCGATTTCGATGATATTCGGTACACACATTCTTCGTGTAAATACGGAATTTGAAATTCTCCAAAATTTCTATATCTTATATATTGTTGAGTATACAATAAGCAATCTTATGTGAAGGAATAAACAAAATGGAAGGTAAATTTTTTGAGATATCCTTGACTAAAATACTTTGTTTGATGTCATCATCCTCACGTTAAATATGTAATATTTTAAATAAAATATTGGGGACTAAACGATTAAAATCGAATAAATAATGAAGAAAATATACGTGAAATTGAATACTTGTTAAAAAAAATTCAAAACCCTACTTTTTTGTTGGAAAATTTTTGAAATTACCCTATATATAGTATGTTGTTGTCAACCAATTAATAACAAAATAAACAACAAAAATAATAATTATCTTTAATTTACGCAATTGCTTAAATTTCTATTAAATGTCACAACTACTTTGTCTCAGATATCTATTTTATAAAAAATAAAATAAAACCAGTAATTTTAGCGACTATTTACATTTTTGTATGAGGTGATAACACTCTTTTTCAGAAAATAAACAAAGAACAGCTGTTATTTACCGCTGTTTGATCTTACATTTGGTTTGCAAGATCAAATAATTATTTTGCCAAAATGATGTAAATTATTTGACTTTTGGTGTTCACATTGATGAAACAATGAAAAAATATTTATTTGCCAGCAAATCAATTTGTTTTATGAAAATCATCCGCATTGCCGTTTGTTAACATGAAATATTTTATGTTCAGATTCGACAAACAACGTTTTTTCAATCGTGTTATATATTAATATTATACACTTTTATTATATAAATTTAATTTTAAACCTAATAAAAATAGTTAAAATTAAATTGTAAATTGGCTTTTTCTTGCATTAAATTATACGATATGCTGTGCTGTACAACATGTGTATGTTTGAATCAAATTATTTTTGCACTGTTTGATAAAACAATACCATTTGTTCAAGTCTGAAAATGAAATAAATATTGCGTTTGTTTTACGCAACTTCAAAAATATTTTATTACAAATATTTGGACCATATATTTTTCAGGTGTGAACGTAGCTTAAGGAAACTGAAATGGAAATAATTTTTAATAAGAAACGACTTTTTATCGATTTGCATGATATTGAGACTACTAATGTTATTAATATAGTCCAAAGGAAAAATCGCAATATTTTCTGAGCTCAATGATCACCAATTCAATAAATTACAACAAATTTTAGTAGAGTCATATTCTGGTATTGAGGGAGTATCTTTTGTTAAATGTAGCTATTTTGCTAAGGACATTGAAGACGAAGATGAACTAAGGAAACAAATATCACTTTTTCATAAAAATTAAGTGGATCATGCAGGAATTATATCGACTTATGAGGGGATAAAACATAAAATATATAACCCACAACTAAAAACAAAGATACATGAGATAAGTAATAATTGTGAAATATGCTCCGGAGGGAAGTATGATCGCAATCCGACCAAGCCTAGGTTTCACGTCACAGAAACGCCAACTTCAGTTAATGAAATCGTTCATATTGATACGTATGTGAATAGTAAGCACTCAAAATATACCGTAAGTTTTTATTTGCCAGATAGAAACAACCAAACAATTATATGCAAAATAAACGAATTTTTGGCAATAAAAGGCCCAGTCAAAAAGTTTGTTTTTGACAATGAAGTTAATTCAAAAAACGTAAAGGATTTCTTGACACAAGAGAGAATCGAATTTCATGCCACGAAACCCAATAGTCATACCGGAAATTCTGATATAGAACGTCTTAATAATACTTTGACTGAAAAAATTAGAACACTTAACCTAGAAGAAAAATTGCCAACCATAACACAAATGATAAAAGCTGGACATTCAAGTAATTTTCGGAAGGGGACTTTGTATGAGAGCTAGGGTCAAATGAGGCCCGATCTTTGTAAAATTTGCCAAGGTCATCAAGGCTTTTATAAAACTTAGTTGTGCCGCTTTTTATCGATATACAGGTATAATAACATAATTAGGAGCTCAGAAGCCCTTTTCGGAGGGTTCTGTTGTATGGGGGCTAGGTAAAATTACGGACGGACGGACATAGCTAAAAAACTATTCTAAGCCGATTGGTATATTTTAAGGTGGGTATAGGACGAACATCAGCACAAACCCAATATACCGTCCCCACTAAAGTGGTGTAGGTATTTTTATCCAAACATTAATAAACTTGAAAACTTAAGTATATTAAATATAAATGTTAAATTCCATAATATAATTATAGAGCACTTTCAAAATATTAAAGAAATTGAAGAACTAAAATTTCATAAAATGATATCTTATGGTATAAACGTAACATTGATAATGGTTGTCACTACATTGATTATGATATTCTATTCTTTTATGAAAAAGAATAATATAAACATAAAGTTTAATTAATTAATAATTAATTAAGGAAAGTGATATATCACGATCCAAACAAAATTTCGTAAATGAAATTAAAAAAATATAAAACTGAAATATATGAAACAAATTTATAAAAATAAAATACATATAAAATAAAAAAATAAATAAAAAAAAATAAAACCCAGGATTGTTTTAGACATAGGGTAGAGGAGTTACATACCCACTCCCTAGATTAATAATAACGGCTAGTAAAGTGTAGGGTAGTTTTAAATTACACTTTTGTTTATTTTCCCACATTTTGCCAGACAGCAACGTAAGCATAAAAAGTCTTCGTTGCTTAGCTTAATTTAAACAAGTAAGAAAGTATAGTCGGGCGTGACCGACCATATGATACCCTACACCAGTTATGAATATTAAATGTGATTTATTTTTCATAATAAAGCATTTATCTTCTATTACCTTGTTCCGATACATTTAAGCAATTTATGGATGAAAAACTAATTTTCTGAAAGAGGCTTTATATGGGGCACATAGGGACGGACCAAGCCTGATAATATTTTGTGAATATATTTATATTTACATAATATTTTATTGTTACATCGCGATAGAAATTTGGCAAGATCATCAAGGCTTGTATAAAACTTAGTTGTGCCGCTTTTATCAATATACAGGTATATTTAACATAATTATGAGCTCAGAAGCCCTTTTCGGGGGGTTCTGTTGTATGGGGGCTAGGTGAAATAATGGACCGATTTTAACCATTGGGCTGAAAAAAGAGTGTGTGCTAAATTTCATCGAATTATCTTGAAAATTGCGACCTGTACCTTGCGCACAAGGTTTACATGGACAGCCAGCCAGACGGACGGACATACGGACATAGCTTAATCGACTAAGAAAACGATTGGTATACTTTAAGGTGGGTATAGGACGAATATTTTTGTATGTTACAAACATCAGCACAAACCCAAGTAGGGTATAGTAAAGAATAAAAATTAAGTTTCAGTCTTAAGATTCATTTTAAATAAAAAAGATGTTCTAAGGAACATAAATAAAAAATAATAAATATTTTGTTTTATTTTTTGTAATTCATAGATTTTAAGATCTATAATTCGCGTGAATTAAGAATTCACCTCACGAGATTCACGCGATTATCACGCTTATTAAATTTGCTTAATGCACGCGTTTACAGATTACAGGAATTATAGGTTAATGTTTTCTAGAAAATGTAGTAGAACTGCAACAAATACTTAAGATTTGCATTGTTTGCTTGCATCATCTGACTACTTTATTTCAAAGATTTTTGAAATAAACACCAATAATTAAAAAAAGTTATCAAACTTACGTTTAATGGTAGTGCGAAATAGGTATCAAAACAAATAAGTAATATAAGCATTGCTGTAATAAAGTAGTATATAGCAGATGTTCTGTACGAGGAAAATATGTAAGTACTACAAATATCTACTATTGCAGCAAAAAGACCACTAATATTAGAACCTAGCACAACAGCTCCAGTATATTTTATGGGTAGAGTTGCAACCATACCATATATACTGTTTTGATATATGCCATTTGCCACTGAAATGAAATAAATAGTAAATAACTGTTAATAATAAAGTTATATTGATTAAAAATATATAGAAAATATTAATTAATTTACAATAAAATTTCAATTTGTAATCTTACTTTAATAACAGTAGTTTATAACAATTTTGCCCAGGATATAAAACTTATATGGGCTTCTTTATTTAGGCTTCTTATTTATTTATTTATTATTTACTAGATTTTTGTGGTGGTTACATAACATTATTCATAAGTATTCTCCCGTCAGAGGAAACTAAAAGATCTGCTTTATGTCCATAGATCAATCTCTGAAATTTTTCAACATTCAGAAATATATCTATCTATATATCTATAACTATGTTTCAAATTTAAAGAAAATCGTTGCAGCCGTTTAAAGCTACGTGAAATATTTGATAGGTGTGAACACTGAAACATTTTTATTTGTCGACCTAGAAATATTTTCCCAATGTGAACACCAAACACGAAACATTTTTGTTTAACGTAAAATAAACCATTTAATTTAAATTACAATAGTTTTTTACAATTTCATTTCATTTAAAAACAAAAATTAAATACATTTTTATTTCATAATGTGCTTAAAATGAGTATTTCTGTTTAGACGTTTTGTTTGAAGAAACAAAGAAAAACACAATTCAATACAAATAGTGGAAATTTATTCGCCCGGTATTCAAATTAAAACAAATAATTTCGTAAAACAATTGACGGATAAAGCAGTAAAAAAACAAGATTTTGGCAAAGAGGAACATAACAAGAAGAACAGTTAATACGCAACCAAACCAAAAGCCAAAAATATATGTGTTTATATTTCTATTTATTCTAAAATTTCATTTAATATTGTCTTTTCAACAAAAGTTTACCAAAAAAAAAAAAATACAAATTACATTTCAATACCTTGTGCAAGTGGAAAAGAGATAGATGGTGGACCTGCACTGTCATGTTGCAGCTATTTAGTATAGTCAATGTAGCGAAAACAGTTGGTTGTTTGGAACGGGAAATAACCAAATTCTAGTCTATAGACTAGACTATAGACTAGACTATAGACTAGACAACAGGAAGAGCCGCAGTATGGGCTTGTGGAAACAAGGCCATAGAAGAGGGTATGAAGGAGCAGCATGAAGGTTTTGCAAGAGCAAAAATAGGTGGTATATACGTATACAGCTGTTATGCGTCACCAAATATACCGATACTAGACTTCGAACGATTTGTGGATGATCTTGTAAGAGATGTATCAGGTCACAACCCAGTCATCATCGGAGGCGATTTTAATGCCTGGGCTATAGATTGGGGGAGTCAGAGAACTAATGAAAGGGGAAGAATACTGCTTGACGCCTTTTCTCAACTCGACCTAATTCTCGTGAATAAGGGTAATTCGTATACATTCAGAAGGGCCGGCTATGGCTCGATTGTTGACCTAACATTCGTAAGTGCAAACCTATCAAGAGATTTAGAATGGCAGGTTAGCGAGCACTATACGTATAGCGACCACCAGGCAATAATACTCACTGTACATACCGGAAGCAATACGGTGTCAAAAAGCACAAAGGTAAAAATTCAAGGGTGGTCTAAAGACAAAATCGATATGGAGTGTTTCACCGAAACTTTCTCCAACTACAACATAATAGAAGGCACAGCAACGGAAATGTGTAGGCAGCTAGTCACGTCACTAAAAGAGGCATGCGATGCATCTATGCCAAGGCGGAGACAAACCGAAAGAAGGAAAGAAATTTACTGGTGGAATCATAATATAGCTTCCCTAAGAAAAGCTTGCCTAAAAGCGAGAAGAAAATATCAAAGGAGTAGATGCCGACCCGATCACTTACTTAAAAGGGCTACTTATCATCGGGCTAGGAAGGAATTAAAAGAAGCAATACACAAAAGTAAGTCGGAGTCCTTTAATAACCTCTGTAATAAAGCAGACGAAAATATATGGGGTAGCGCATATAAAATAGTTATGGCTAGTACAAAAGGAGGAAATCCACACAAACTACCTGTCCCGAACTTGTTACTAACATAGTGAAATCACTGTTTCCAGACGGAGAACCATACAACGAGCAGGAATATGTCACCGAGAGTGGGATACTTCATGAAGTACAAGTTTCGGATGCTGAAATTGTTGAACTTTGCAAGAGAATAGGGGACAACAAAGCTCCTGGAATGGACTCTATCCCAAATAAAGCGCTTAAGCTAGCGCTTCAAATAAGACCACAGGTGTTTGCAAATATTTTTACTAAAAGCCTAAAGGAAGGCGTGTTTTATAGTGAATGGAAGAAGCAGAAGCTAATTCTTATACCAAAGCCTGGTAAAACACTAGGAGAACCCGGATCCTATAGACCAATATGTCTCCTGGATACAGTGGGAAAATGCCTAGAGAGGATAATATATAGCCGTCTACAGTCCGCAGCCGAGGAAGTAAGTGGCATCTCCCAAATGCAATACGGCTTCCGCAAGGCTAGATCAACAGTCGATGCCATAAATCTAGTATTGAAAACTGCAAGAAATGCAATCCAAGGCAAAGGTGTAGCAAGAAAATATTGCGCCATAGTGACCTTAGATATTAAAAACGCTTTTAATTCAGCAGGATGGAAACATATAGTTTCGAGGATGAAACGTATAAATATCCCGAACTACTTGATCAAGATAACAATGGACTACTTCACTAATAGGACTTTATGGTACGAAACTGATAATGGGCTGGAGTCACACAGTATCACGGCAGGAGTACCACAGGGCTCTGTACTTGGCCCCCTTCTGTGGAATATTATGTACGACGACATATTTAAACTTCAGGTGCCAGAGGAGGTGGATATCGTAGGATTTGCAGACGATGTAGCAATAATTGTCCAAGCAAGACACCTGCAAGATGTCGAACTATACGCGAATGAGGCGATACATACAATTAGTTTATGGTTGAAATCCGTAAATCTTAACCTTGCAGACCACAAAACAGAGGCTGTGTTGATAAGTGGTAAAAGAAAAAGGGAAACGATAACGCTACAAGTAGGAAACGCTATAATAACGTCGTCACAAGCAATAAAATACTTAGGGGTGATGATAGACGACCGTCTGAATTTTAAAATCCACATGGATTACGCATGTCGTAAAGCAACTGGCGTTACAAATGCACTTGCCAGAATGATGCCAAATATTGGAGGGCCTAGATATAGCCGTAGACTTCTTCTCACTAGCGTGACAAACTCAATACTACTCTACGGTGCACCAGCATGGACTACTGTGATACCGATTATTTTACAAAATTATATTAATTTATAAAAAAAAATAAAGACTATTTTTATATAAAATAAATACTTGTTAATTTTTTTAGGGATAAAGAATAAAAGATTAATCGTAAAAAGTGGCTGTAAAAATTCATAAAAATTTAGGCAGTAAAACATGCCCAACAAATGTATGGATGAAAATAATAGTGCTAGGTAAATTTTCTAAAAGATGTTGAGTTTTCCCTAATTAATTTGTCACTTAAAAAACATTAGGTAGGCATGTTATATATCAATGGAAAGGTAATTTTGTCTATTTTTCATAACTGTATATAATTTTTGAAAATTAAAAAATTCGCGGAATACTTTTTTTAAAAAAAAATTTAAAAATGTTTTTTATTCAGTTTTTGCAAAGATACAAATTTTTCAAATTGCAATAAAAATTTTATTTATGAATATTTTTTGATGAAATTTTACAGTTAGGTAGATTTTTTTTACTCAAAATCCAAAATTAAATAAAAATTTCGAATTTTCTTATTAGAAATCCCGGAATTCCCAAAAAAGTTTTAAAAAATCCCAAAAATGGGATTTTTTGGTTTTTTGCCTATTATATCCATACCAGGGGCGGGTTTATCGAAACCCGTTACAAAATGATTAAGAACATATTGGGTCATATAAAACAGGTCACTATAATTTGATATCGACTATGCGATTTGAGAATTTTTGCTCAAAATTGAATTTTCCATAAAAAATAGGGTTTTTTTGGATGGACCTGGTCCCCTCGGTATCAAAAATTTTTAGGTTTTGTTTCATTTATCGTATTTTATGTAAAGTCAGCTTTCCAAAAAGTATAAATTCTATATACATCTTCTTAGAAACTTTTTAGATAACTTAAAAAGAAAAAGATACTTTTTTCCCAAAAAAATGGCAAAAAATCGCCTTTTTTTAATTTTTTAAATTAAAATGCCTATAACTTTGGACTCAGTCATGATTTTTACATAATTCTTTCACTGCTTGATATATAAACTTGTTGTTAAGCGAATAAATCGAAAATCGGGAATATTTGGACCCGCTATTATCAAAAAACTAAAGTAAGGACGGTAAAAATTTTAAAATTTTAATTTTCAAATGCGAATATCTCCTAAACTATAAGAGATAATTTACTGCTACATATAGTGCTCGATGAGGAGATTCTATATACGAAATCTTAAATCGGAACTCAAATGAAGAAATAGGATCGTTTTAAAAATTTAACATAGCCGAGGTGTCCTAATTTGAGGACCCCCCGCCGGGCCCCTGGTTCAAATTCAAAACCTAAACTCGACAACACCTCCTCTTTGTGCATACCAAATTTCATTAAAATCGGATTAACCGTTTAGAAGTTACCGAATTATTTCCCTCTTTTTTTTCCTATACCACTGTGCGATTGTGGTAAAATTTGGTTGAAAGACTTCTATCGTATAACACTTATTTTTTCCATCGCTGTTAGTCATAAGAGTAAAAGTGATAAAAGTCATAAGAGTAAAAGTGATTTTCTGAAGCGGACTTTATATGCGGGTAGGGTCAATTATGAACCGATACTCGTAAAATTTTGTTTTGTACAGAACTTGTTTCTATCGAATTTCATCGCTATTTTCGTATTTTTAAATAAGGAATATTCGTATTTTAAATAAGTAAAACCTTTCCTGAAGGAAACCTTATACAGGGACTATGATCTGTTATATGTATTATGTTCCTATAAAGCTTTTTTATGTCGAGTTTAATCGCTGTTCTCGTAACATT